CATACAGGGCTAGTAGATTTGGCTTGGAATGGGCGAGGGATTTTCCCCTGTATAGAACCATTTATGTCAGTATCTCAAAGTTACAGTACTCAAATATTAAGCCTCACAACATGCTTATGAATTGCATAAGTAGTTTTCTCATTTTACAGAGGGTGGAAATGGAAGAATTAAGGGTAGCTTTTCAAAAACTCAGATGGTACTTAACTCCAACTGAGAGACAATGGGAGCTAGGCACCTAAGTGCCATTGAAAAATCTGCACCTAAGTGACTTGGCGAAGAGCCAGTGACATGACCGGAACTAGTACCCCAGAGTTCTGAATCCCAGGGCTCTGCTCTAGCCACTACACCACACACCCTTCCCTAACTGGAAAATAAAATAGAAATAATTGATTTTTCTTAAGTTAAAATGTGCCTAACTTCTTGTCTATGGGCCCCCACCTCTGTCTGCCAGATAGAGAAATCTTTTGCCTTTGCTCAGGTGTTTACATATCTTGGTGGTATGTATGTGTGTTGTCAACTTGTCCTGTGATTCTGTCCGCTTGAATGGTCTCTTGGGACATGTGTTAACTCCTGATGCATAACAATATGTTCCACCTTGTATTTAGCTGTGTCACGCCGATTACATTTCCGAACCTGAAGAAGAGCTCTGTATAGCTCCAAAGTTTGTCTCTTACCAACAGAAGACGGTCCAATACAAGCTATTACCTCACGCACCTGGTGTCTCCAAAATTCATAGCTAGGTTGTAATCTTGGCCACTTGTTACCTTTAAATCCTAAATGTAAGGGGGAATGATCAGCATAAGCCCTGGATCATTTTAAATTAAAAATAAAGGAATGTTCGTGCATGCCACAAACTAGAAAAATGCTGTTGTCTGTGAAACAAGTGTGGCTTTGTGAACTTAGTGGAAAACAGGCTTAGTGTAAAAATATACATCCACCACTAGAGGGCAACAGTCACAGAGATGAAGAAAATAAACATTCCATAAAAAGATTTTGCATCTCAGTCTGGGGCAGAGTGCTTGATCTTTACATGTTAGTTGTGTGTGTAGAAAGAATACTAGCACACTGAAAAAGGTTTTGGTGAAGACAATGTACCATGGAAGGCAAAAGCTTAAAGCAAAGGTGATCCAATGTTTCTACCTCCTGTGCTTTCACTGCCCAAATTGTTAATTGCCTGATCTGAAAAAATCCTTACCTTGAGCCCTTCCCAGACCTTTCTCTTGAATGTTCTGATGATTTAGGGCCTTATGATGTCTTCATATTCATATGTTAGATGTTTTGCCTCCTTATTTTACTTCTGTTCCTCTCAGGAAAGAGGACAAAGATTGGCTGCATTCTCTGAATTCTGTCAAGTTTGAAGAATAATTTTTTCAGGTGCCAAAGATGTGCTAAACACCTCACAAAATGAGTGAAGACATAGGACAATTTTTTTTTCCAAAAATGGCCTTGGTTTTTGATGATGGAAGTGCTGGGTGTCCAAACTGAGATACTTAGGCCGTATTTTCAGAAGTTCTCAGCACTCATACTTCTGCTTGAAGTTAATGGGGGCTACTGTGTGAGAAGGCCTCGGAAAACCAGGTCCAAGATGTCTCAAGTTGGGCATCTAAAAACGGAAGCATGGCAGTTGCATTCAGATGATGGTCCCTGCCCTGAAGAGTTTATGATCTCAGTTCATCTCAATATCAGCTTTATTAATGTGCTTTTTTTTTTAAAGAGATTGAGATTATGGACTCCAAATGTGTGGGTTTTTTTTTCTAATTAAAGAAAAAAAAAGTAGACAAGACTATTTGTCAAGATGCAGATTTGAAAACGCAACCACACATGCCAAGTAGGACGGTACCAGTTTTACACACCCAGTTCCAGTTTTACTAGGAGCACTGTAAATCAGCCCTGAAAAATTCCACTCACCCTGAGTAACTTTTTTGGCAGAGTAAAATATCCACTTTTTCATGACCATCAGTCCTTGCGGTAAATGGTAAGCAAGCAATTTTGTGTCTTGGGTAAACGGTTATGAGTATGTTGCAAGGCTGCTGTAAAGACAATCACTGATTACTAGAACTTGCCTCTGTCCATCCCAGGAGTTACTATCCACAGATGTAGTCTCTGTCTGGGATTTAACACTCCATAGCTGTGAGAAGCCATTCCCATTCGAGGGAATTCAAGGTTCAGTATTAAATACACCTTTTTAAGAGAGCATTTAAAGGGTTGTTGGTTTAGTTCAGTTGTAGGTATTAGGCTGGTTGAGGTGGGGTGTTCTGTTGTTGGTCTTTGGCTGAAAGGCTGGTGTTTTGTTATGATAGCTGTTTGTTTAATAAATGTACGCTGCTCAGGGGGTAGGCATTGGGCACCAATGGCAGGGCCTGCTCTTGCTTTTCTAGAAATCTGTTGGGAGTTTTACCATTTGCCATTGACTTCCATGGGAGCAGGCCTGGACCCTCAGTTTCTAAATAAATTATTTGCTTTTAGTGTTTGCCGTGTGCCTTGAATTCTTATGCTTTCACTACCTTGTATACCATATGCCATGAGTACGTGATTGAATGGACACTTGGAATGTACACTAGGATCTTGGTGAGGATCTTTTCATTGAGTTAAAGGGTATTTTCAAAGGGAATACATGGAAAACATCCTCAGTGTTCTTCTGAATCCTGTGTGAAACTCTGCTTTATGCTGTTTTCTCTGTCTATGGGGAGACAGCTGAACTTGTTTAAACTGTAGGACTGGATGGTGGGAGACCTTGATTCTATTCTGAACACTGCATCCTTGTGTGACTTTAGCCAAGTCATTTAACCAACGTGTCCTAAGTTTTATCAGCAGTAAAATGGAGATGCTAGAACCTTGTTTAGATATTTAATATTTGCAAAGAGCTTCTGTAGAAATGTAAATTATTAACTTGCTATTACCAACACATTTTAAAAGACATGGACTCAAGATGGGGAACAAAAAAGGCAAGGATAATGCAACTGTATGATGAGAAATTTTAAAGACTAGGGTTATTTTATTTAGAAAGGAGATAGTTTTATATGGCACAGCAATGGCCTTCTGGGCACCTTCTATCTCTTTCCATATTGTAAGAACGTTAGATGAAACGAAAAAGCAATGAAGAAAGTAAATACTTCTCTGTGCTAATTATACATTAGTTTCTGGAACTAACTGCCAGCGAGTATGATGGAGGAAAAAAACTTAATACAATTAATGATTAAAATGAGGAATAGCATCTGCAGTTATATTAGCTGGGGGTAAACATAGCAAGTGTTACTGAATCTCATGCTTCAGGGCATGAACTGACTTGCACCTGGAGTCCAGAAGAAACATCTTCTCTACCATAGAGTGGGTTACAGTTGGCCTGGTATATTATGCATACTATGTGTCTGTAGGGGAGGGCTAAATACCTCATTAGTCTCTCTTCTTAAGAAATCATAAAGTATTCTGCATTATAGCCAAATATACTGTAATAAGCTTATATAAACCACTGATAGTGTTTCCTGTGCTCTTTGTACCATAAGATCAGTGTACAGTTGGGTTGCAGGTTATTTTTGGTGTATGCATCCTAATTTTACCTTAGATGACATGTAGGTGGGTGTTTGGCAAAGATGGACCTACAGGGCAGAGCTCTTTTAAATGAGAAACAATAGGGCAAACCATTGGGAAAAGCATTTGAAAAAGGAAATGTCCTTAGTCAAATGTGACAATATTTGACAATAGTGGTCCAAGTTACTGTAGTTTAGTCATTTTACTGCTGTGTTTGGGGCCTTTTCTAAGTATTTTTATTAAAATAGAAGCTAGAGGCTAAGCCCCTGCTCCCTGTAAAGTGAGTGTGAATGGGGGAACCACGTGAGGGTTGCAGAATGAGGGAATCCTGTAACCCAGAGGCAGGGCACAGCACTGGTACAATGCAGCCACGTCTGCTGCCTCATGCTCGTATACCTGTAGGGTGACCAGATGTCCCGATTTTATAGGGGCAGTCCCGATATTTGGGGCTTTGTCTTATATAGGTGCCTGTTACCCCCCACCCCCGTCCCGATTTTTCACACTTGCTCTCTGGTCATCCTATATACCTGGGATCTCTGTAGTTATGGGGCCCATAACTAGTCATGCTCCTGACCAGTCTCCTCCCCCTGGAGACTAGGTGTTCAGATACGGAGGAGATGGGAATGATAGAAGAGAGAACAAATATAGTTAGATCTGCTTCAGAAGATGTCACAGATCTAAATTCAGTGAGACTAATTAACCATGGGAACAATTTACCAAGGGTCTTGGTGCATTCTCCATCAATAGCGGTTTTTAAATCAAAATTGGATGTTTTTCTAAAAGATGTGCTCTAGGAATTATTTTGGGGTAGTTCTGTGGCCTGTGCAGTACAGGAGATCAGACTAGATAATCACAATGATCCCTTCTGGCCTAGGAATCTATGAATAGTCTCCCCTCAAGCACACAAATGTTGCTCTGGGATGTCCTACATGGGTTTGCTCAAAAGCAATTCATTTGAATAGTTTAATAGCCATTAGAATGAGATCTGGTCCACGATCTGTTGATTGGTTATCTTTCACATTTGCGATTATTTCTACTGTGTGAGTTACAGCCTTTAAAAGGGACAGCAGCAGATTTGAGCGGGAAGTGTGTGTGTGTGGGGGGACCATTATCCGTGTTTTGCTGGGCAATGCCTATGGCAGGACAAGCCAGGCAAAGGTCTTAGGGGTGAGGGTAATAACTAGTACCTTGCTGCAGTGTAGTCATGGAGGAGTGTGTTTGAGAAATAGGTTCCCTGCAGCTGGAGGGTATGGGAATGTGGCAAGCCGGAAACTTTCCCTGTGTTCCCCTTTGACCAAAGTCCCTGGCCGGCGCAAAGGAGACTGGAGGATGCCTTGTGCAGCGGCGGCAGCTCGGAGAGGTGTAAACTCAACACCGCTCCCGCAGTTGCTGTTGCCAGGAGACCGAGTAGCGAGCTCGGAGGGAAGGGGGGAGGAGGCGGCTGCAGCAGGAGTAGCGGCTGCTGCAGGGAGCGCTGGGTAAGGAGCGCCGGGGCTGCTGCAGGAGCAAGCGAGAGGAAGCGGCTCGGAAGGGGGCGGCGGCGGCGGGGGCAGATCCGATTGCAGCCGGGCCGAAGCGCAGGCAGTGATTACTCCCTCCAGCCCGCTGGGTGCAAGCGGCCGCGGGCTTGCGAGGGGACTGGAGTGCATGCGGAGTTCAGGCTGCAGTCCGGCTGCGCACGATGGAGGATGAAAGGTATGTGCGGAGTGTGTGTGTGTGAGTGCAGGGCAGACGCCTTTGTGTTTGCGTTGGGGCTGGCGGGGCACGCAATGCCCTGCAGCCCGGCGCTTATCTGTCAGTGTCACAGCCCTGCTTCGTGGGGTGGGGGTGGGGGGTGGGGGATGAAGTTTCAAAGCTCTCCCTTGTGAGGAAGGTTTTGCATTGTGTTGCTCTGAGACAGTCATCGCTCACATCACCGCTGGGCACTTTGTGTTTCCTTTTCCCCCAGCGCTTCCTCGTAGAAATTGCCCCCGGTGAACTGTCTCTGAGTGGAGCGTGTATGTGCTTTCGAGATTTAAAATCCCCCCTGTTGTCAGCGCCTGAACTGGGGGGCCTTGGAGCTGTGCAATACAAGGATCTCTGCTTTTTTTTTTAAAAAATAAATAAATAATAAAGGGCAGTCTAAGGGGAAACATTCTCATGGGAACTGCTTTTTAATTTAATTTGAAATTAAGCTTACTTACAGTTGCATAAGCTTATCAGCAAGAATGTGAGATGTGTGACTTGTAAGAACCAGATCACTTCGCCAGTGGCACTCATTGGCATGCAAGAAGTGGTGATTAAGTAAAGGGCTGATTCTTAATGTTCCTATGAGAATTCACCTTACTTCTGAAGCATATGAGGCTCCTGTTCCTGCAAGGCCTTTTTTCCCTAATCCCCTGCACAAAATATGTTGGTTTTTATCTTCTGATTACTAGACATTGCAATGTCATAGGTGAAGGTTACTTCACCTGATTCAAAACTGTGCTCAGAAGTTGAAGGGAATTTATTTCCATGCAAAACTTGCCATAAAAAAGATTTTTTTTTTTAATGAGATGTTGGAATGCATTTTGTCTGATTGACGCAGGCATTTAAAGAACATGCGGAGTTGAGCTGGAAATTTAATGTGGGTTGATGTAGTGCAGCCTACCAGTAAAATTTTAAACTCTGATTTAGTGTTCACCTCACTCTTTAATTTCAGCTAGTTGATTTTAGTTCTGTAAATCTTGACTTGTACCCAGTGGCACCCATTTAGTGCTTTTTGTAGTTAACAAACAAAAGTTTATGAATTTTGCAAATCGTACTGTGAGTATATTTACACATCCTTTGTAAGCCAAAACAAGCGACCTGTGTTTTATGACAGGCAGAGGGAGACAGCAGGATGGATCTTTATAGCTGCTCATAGGGTAGATGGGCCATTAACTGTTTCCTGTGTAGTCTTGTTTTTGTCTGTCGTACCTTGGTTGCTGTAGTTTTCTAAGAAAAAGCTAAGCTCTTAATAGCCACTGAACATAGTGCAAATAATGAGAGGTGGCATCTTGTGATTGTTGCATGGGAATGCCCAGGAGAAGAGGGGTATATAAAATATTTACCATGTAGGCGTTCTTCTTTGAATGCCCCTGTGACTTTTTGAAGCCAGAAACTTAAACTTCTAGAAGCTAAAAATCAGCGGAGTACTCCCTTTCCAAGTTGTGCTGGTGACCTTTGTGTATGGGGAAAGTTTTCACAGAATAATATTGATGGAACTACTGCCTTTTGGGATGTGAGGAAAACTTTGCTTCTCCAACATACTGTACCTAAAATGAAACCTGGCTGCAGTCTTTGAGCAACATTCTCATTGCAGCCAAAGGGAATTTTGTCCAAGTAGCAAGGGGCAGGATTCTATCCTTAGGTGAATAGAGAGTCTCAATAGTTGTTTGTATATTTAATGTTCAAAACAAAACTCTCAGCCTATGATCTCTCTTGCAGTTAAATATATTCTAGAATAGATCTAGTGTTTGTTTAAATGGCCACCTGTGGAGGTTAATCATTAGTATATTTAAATCTCAGAGGTATTTTAGATACTTGCCCATGTAACTTGTGTCCAATTCTTGCAGCTTTTAAAGTGAATCTGTTGTCTGAGAGTTGACAGGAGAGGAAGCTGAGGCCATGTGCTTATCCCAGTGGAGAGTGGCAATTCATTATCATCCTTGTTAATCAATTCTATTCTGGTAGTGCCCAAAAGCCCAAATACGGACTTGGCTCTGATCATTCTGGGCACTGTACAAACATAAATGTCCCTATAATAACCAGTTTGGCTCAGTTTTGTTTTAGACTGAGATGCTTTTTCATTCCCTAAGAACAATCTCCATATCCCCTCAGTCTTTGAAACTGAAGAATCCCACTGAAACTTCTGGGGGATTTTGTTGGTTTGAATATAATTATCCAAACTGTGGCTTACACACCATTGCTCTCAGGGTAGGGACGGAAGGCTCTTCAATGAACCCAGGCTGTGAGGACCTTGGATTTATGTCCCCTCTGAAGAGGCAGTTGAGAGATGTCAGCTTCTCACATTCTAGAAGTGCACGTCCTGTTGAACTCCACAAAAGCTACATCCTACACACTGAAAAGTGGAATGAATAGCTCTTTAAAAAGGACTCTGTCAAGTACTTTATTTCTGTGTGTTTTTTTGTGGTGGCTTTGTGTTTATATTTGTACATGTGCTTAGAATTTTGATGGGAACATTTTATAAACTTGCATAAAAATAGTATAGACCTCAAGTTTGACCTACTTTAACTTTCTTATTTGGATTTTAATTTCTTTCTTTCCCACTCAGTTAAATTTTTTTTAAAAAAGTACTTTATTATCAGGTCATGCCATACGTAGGTTCTAAACCTGCCAACACTTGTATTTCTGAGAAACTTTTACACATGTGAACTTCTTCAGTGGGGCTACTTACATGTGTAAAGTTACTCATGTGCCTAAATGTTTGCAGAGCGAGTGATTTTGTGTAAGCCAGTCATGTGTGGCAATCTAAATTGCTTACTTTGAAATCACAGTTCTCTCTTTGTCAATGCTGGTATGGCTACGCTTTGTCTGGCAAAACTACACAGCTGTATGATCAAAATGTGTGTTCTTTACCTCTGATGAAATTAGACACATTTTATTGTTCAACCAAAATAATAATATGAATGATACAGAATAATTATTGAAAACTTAAATTTTCCAATATCGTAATTTAAAATAATGGCTTTGAATGATTTTGCATAAACATGGTGATGTCTTCATAGTATTTTTTCCGAGAGGTTTAATATTTGCATCGCAAAGCAACTGTGATATTGGTGTTGAATTTGAATAATTATCTTAATTAGGGTAAAAATTGTTATCCTATGTTGTGGAACGCTTTATCTTTGTGATTTTTATCAAGTCCACGTTCCTCAAAATAATGTTCTTTTGGGGTTCTAGTGTGCATATCTGCAGTATACTCCAATTGCATATGTTACCAATTTTGTGTGTCCATTTTTGTGTAGTAATAGGCAATGCCAAAAATGCCTTAACAAAATAGGGGAAATATTACTTACCTCAAAAACAAAAAATCTGTTCTTATATTGATTTTTTTTTTTTAAATGGGGGAGAGGAGCAGAATGAGCCAGTTCTGTTTCATTATTTTCAAATCCTCTGCAAAATCCGCCTCCCCCAATCAAAGCTGGCATTTTCAAAGACGCCAAAGGGAGTTAGGTGGCAAACTCCTATTGAGTATTGGGGATATTTGGCAAGCTAATTTCTCTAAGCTCCTTTGACAGTCCTAGCCCATAGTCTTTAAAATTATTTTATTTTCATGTGGCCTTAAAAAAAATAAAGATTAGCTAGTGCACGTGCGCTCGCTCTCTCTCTCTCTCTTTCATAGCTAGCTATTATCAGTCTCTTCTATATGTACTGTAACATTGACATCTGATAGTAGAATGGGTGTTAGCTTGTCTCTGGGGTGAAAATATTAGGTATAATAATAAATATATTTGCTTCCAGGTATTTCTTGCCACTCATTCTAGATGTAAAATATTGTTGCTCTTTTTGTTTTATACTTGCTTTGTTTCCTTCAGTTAAAATTAAAGATCAAAACATTTATTTTTTGGCTATGATATCCATTTATCATAATAAAAAAACTTCCTTTCTTCTCAAATTAAAAATAAGGAAGACAGCTCTGTCAATATGGATAGCAGTTCTATCTTGATAAACAGATTCTTTGTTAGCTTTATAAGTCAGGGGACTGCAATTTAATATCTATTTAGTTCCCAGATCAAACTACATTAGACTGGAGTAAAGGCCGAGTGCCTGTCAGCAACTTAAGGGTAAAAATCATTACAAGGATGCTGTAATTATCCCATTAATAGGCACTACAAATCCAGGAAATTCAGAGTTCAGGTTAAATTTTAAGAAAGCTGACATGTCAAGGAATGGAAATGCACAATTAAGGTCCCAAACAACCTTAACTCTGCCCTCTGTAGTAACATTGTGCCACAACCATAAAATTATGGTTAGTACAGAAGTGTCTGTAGTCCTGCTGGCCACCGTCTTCCCTGAGGGCAGCTCGGCTCCACTCCTGTTTGAAAGTAGGCACTTTTAGCTTCAGTCTATTGAGAACAATAGAGCATGGCAGCCATTTTGAAAGAGGGCAGCTCTTCATGGAATCCTTTGCAGCAGTAGCATAGATTCATAGATATTTAGGTCAGAAGGGATCATTATGATCATCTAGTCTGACCTCCTGCACAACGCAGGCCACAGAATTTCACCCACCACTCCTACAAAAAAAACCTCACACCTATATCTGTGCTATTGAAGTCCTCAAATCGTAGTTTAAAGACTTCAAGGAGCAGAGAATCCTCCAGCAAGTGACCCGTGCCCCATGCTACAGAGGAAGGTGAAAAACCTCCAGGGCCTCTTCCAATCTGCCCTGGAGGAAAATTCCTTCCCGACCCCAAATATGGCGATCAGCTAAACCCTGAGCATATGGGCAAGATTCATCAGCCAGATACTACAGAAAATTCTTTCCTGGGTAACTCGGATCTCACCACATCTAATAGCCCATCACAGGCCATTGGGCGTATTTACCATGAATATTTAATTACCAAAACCATGTTATCCCATCATACCATCTCCTCCATAAACTTATAGAGTTTAATCTTAAAGCCAGATAGATCTTTTGCCCCCACTGCTTCCCTTGGAAGGCTGTTCCAAAA